GTACAGCAACTACTTTATTATTTTCAAATGCAAATGTCTGCATTGTTTGCTATTTTACAATTTTACAAACTAGGTATAAAAGACCATAAATAAATGACATAAGTTACGTGTACCTAAAATCCATGGAGGGGGGAAAAAATTACAAATTAAAACAAAATAGAAAAATCTCTATATCTAACCCAGAGATAGTTCAAATGCACGAACCAAGAAATGCTGTTAGATTTTTTCCGTATGAACTAAATTATAATATGCCTCATACATTCTAATTTTAATCGCGGTCCTTGCATATTCCAACATACTTGCAGTGATACAAAAAAATAAATGCACTCTCTTTTTATTTGTCTGATTAGTATTTCAGATTTTTTTTCCTGGTTATGAAAATGTCACATAAAAGAAAAATACTGCTTTTTAAATCCTGTTTATCAGCCTTTTGTATTTTATACATATATATTTTTAATACATAAGATCCATCACAAAATTAGTACAGCAAGAAACCCGGACAAACATCAACCAGTGGTGTGTGAGCAGGACAATTTCTGAACAAACAGAGGGTTGTCATGTGAGGAAGTCCCTCTTCCCTGACGGGAAGCAGTGCTGCGCCACTCACTTTCCTTTTGCCCCCAGCTCCTCCGGAGCCGCTGCCGCAGAGGCCCATCCATGCCAGTGGCACAGTGGGCACCTCCCGGCACCCTGAGCACCCTGCCCGGCCTCTGCTGACTGCACAGCTGCCCCCGCTCCCCTGCCACGCACCTGCAGCTCCTCCTCTGCCAGAGCAGGCAGAATGATGGTGAGCGAAGGACTCGGAGGGTGAGTGAGGAGGGAGAAGAGGAGGGAGCGGGAGCAGCTTTGGGACACCGCTTTGCGGCTCTGGTCAAGGCTGCGTTCCCTTTTACCGCAACGCATCCAGCTTCCCCCACACCTCCTGGGGCGAGCTCCTGTCCTGCAGCAGTCTGCGGTGCTGCATGGGGTACCGCGACCAACGCCAGACCCCTGGGGCCAGGAAGCAAGAGGGACATCACCTGCCCCACTCCAAATAGCCAGTGGCTGAACATTCCCTGGGCTCCAGCGCCCAGCTCCACTCAAACTAGCTTACACTACATTAACAGTGAATTCTCCAAACACAGAAAGCTTTTCTGGGTAGCACCAGTAAGTCGCAGCACTGTTCCTCGGGCCACGGAAGAGTGCCTTCTACTGCACCTCACCAGCTCTTCATCACCCGCACGAGGAACAGGACACTCTCTTGCTAACAGCTATAACCTTAGAGGTCTTGTTGCACTTTTATCCCTTAACTGTGCTGGGAGAAAATGAAGTGTTTCGATTATTACAAGTTTTCACAGCTTGCACACAGAGCAAGGTGCTTCTGTGAGTGGAAGAATTGCATATAGTCGTTCGCATTCAAAACTCTTTAAAATCTGTTTTTGCAGGTAAAAAAGGCTACTTAAGAATTCAGTTCAGGGTTACCAGTGGATGGATATGTGGGTGTTGCATCCATCACCTTGCCATTGAGAAACTGGTTATTACTACAAATAAACAACACCTAAGAAAATCGTTAGCGCCCTTACGGATCCTGTAATCCACATCTCCAAAACTAATTTGAAATTGCCCCTGTTTCAGGCTGTAAAACTACTCATTAAGGTTAGTGTGGCAGCTAAAAAATACACGTATAGATACAGAAATTTAAACATTTTTTAATGTGTGTGTTCTTGCTACCGTTGCAGACATGAGCTATTGGCCTGCTCTCATATGACAGGGGACTCCTGTGCTTCCAGAGATGTTTTCAGCACATTCACAGGCAGTTCTACACACGAGGTGACTCGCACGCAAACACACGCACACAAGCACACATACGCACCTTTCAGAGGAGATAATAATCCATTATCCATTCAAGGAAAAAAAATATATTTATATCACTGCAATGGCACGTTTTTGTGTAAAATGTCACTTCAGCAACACATACAGGCAGCTCACAGGAAGTGGGTTCTTTGCTGTGGCACCTGGCCTGGTGTCCATGGCAAGATGTGTGGTGCTCCGTCACCTGCATTCGTCTGAGATGCAGCAGTGAGAGCCAGGGGGATGAGGACAGAAAATAACAAAATATATAAATAAAACCAAAGGTAGGAAGAGAAAGCAGAAGGGGAGGGAAAAAAAAATCCAGAAGTCTGCAGGGCTTTGACACAGTACATTCGTCAAGTGACAACTGGGTGCTGAGTCTTGAGTTAGTTATTTCTCAATGAAGAAAAAAATTGAGTGGGTGGCATAGAAAAAAAAAAAAAAGTAAAAGTCACGCTCTCTTCAGGGACCAATGACTGTTCAGTGTGTGTTTTCCAGAATCAGTGCCAGGAAGACGCAACTGTGATCCAGAAGGCTTCATATCTCACATCTAGTCTATGTTCCTCCATGGTCAATATGATCCATAGGATGGGCTACGAGGCCATGAAAGCAAAATCTAATTTCCCTGCACAAAAAGAAAGCACAATATATTAAAAAACATGCAACAAGTCAGACACGCACACCTGCCCTAACACCTCCTCTGAGATTTCCCAGCAGAAGTCCTGCTGCAGGTGGCCAATCCCCACTTGGCTGGTGCAATTGCTGATTCACATCAAAGGAAAAGACCCAAACTCATCTCTGCCCCAGTGAAAAGGTGCTTTGGCAGTAGGTTCATGGAATTAAACATCTCCCCGCTGTGGGGAGAAGGATTTCCTAAAGGACAGAGGAGCAAGTAGGAAGAGATGCAACTCTCACACAAAAGGGTGGCAGAATGGCAAGCACCAGAGGCTGCAGCGTGCTGCCACGCTCTCGCTGGCTGGCTTGAGCCAACGAGACAAATACAACCAGCACTTCGCAAAGGGTTGGAACTCTTTGCCTTCCTTGTCCCCTTTCTCCCACAGTATTTCAAAGTCTTGTTTCCATGATATATCTTATAACTAGATATATAATATGTGTATATGTGCCACCTATTTTTTTTTAATCTGCTCTCTTCCAGTTAAGATCACATTCAAGTGGATGTCCCCTCACTGGCCATATTTTATGACAGGGAACACAACCATCAATGACAGTTCCGAAAACCTGGCACCTAAACTGCCTTCACAGTTTTCATTCTATAGGGACACAGTTTTTCATTTTGTGTGGAGAATATTGGAGTGTTTTGAATTACCATTACTAGACTCCAAGAAAGCAATTTTACAAACTGGCCAGAAAATTGGGTGCATTTTGTTTTTACGTGAAAAGACAATCTTAACAGAATGCAACAGATTACAGCAAAGGAAAACTTAAAGTATGTCTGCACTAAAAAAGCAAAACATTTTTTGATGCTGAAAGTGCAAGTGTCAGGTCTTTAAAATGAATAACCATTTCTTAGGTTGCCTGGCAAAATGACATTAAAACATGCTGGTTTAAGTAGTTTTTTTAAAAAGAAATATTAAATTTCTTTAAATGGAAAAGCTTTTATAAGTAATACTGCAGAACAGTTTTTACTAAGCTGTCATGACTTGACAGGATCCAAATTTAGCATCTCATATTCTGAAGAAGTTGTTTTCTCAGAAAGTTGGGGGTGAGGGAGAGTTAGTAGTTAAAACCAGCAAGTTATTGTTAAAAACGACAAAAAGTGATGCGAGTGACGATACAGTAAGTGTGACTTGTCCAACTGAGTGAGCTGTTTTGGATTTAGAATAAATGCAATTATTAAAAAAAATGTGACATATAAAGCCACTAAATCATTTCTGAATTTGCTGTCAGGTACAGAGTAGGACCAAAATATAGACCAGCCTGAGCACCATCACAATGTAAATCTCACCTTTCTGACATTGTGCCTGGCACAGCTGAAACACAGTGTCTGTTCTAGAGGATGTGTCATGAAAATCCTCCTCTTACCCAGCACAGTGTAAGTGGGCCTGACCCCGTCTCTTTTCTAAGGTCAACTCATCATTTTGGTCCTCAAAAGGACTTTAAAAGGAATCTAATTTATACACTCTGTTCAAAAAGAGTAATAAACACTTTAATATAAATAAAATTCAAGCCTAAATGTGTTCAGATAAAGCTTTATTTGATGTGACCTAATGAGGACAACAACATTGCTATAGCAGTCACCTCCACCTAGCAACTCAATGGATGCTTTCACTCACTCAGCTTGCCATCTATTTCTTAGGGGAGCTGGAGGGCAGTTTTCAAGCAGGCCATGCTCCATCTTGTTTGCCATACTTGCAGAGGGCCACTTAGACCTTAGCCATGCAGCCTACACCTGGCACTCACACCCACAGTTGCCTTGATAATCCAGCCTGTGAGGCTGGTTTCCAAAGTGCATTTGGTTCCCACAGCTGATGAGACTGGCAGAAAAAAAAAAAAAGGCAAAAAGTGTCTGAAGTGTAACATTGCTGCATAACATAGAGCTGTCACCTTGCCCAACACCCAAACTGTGCAGAACCAGGAAAGCTGCATGCACAATCCCATTTCCTTCTGCTCCCCCTGCAATAAAACCACTGACACAGCAACTGAGACTGATCTTTCAAAAACACAAATATTGGTTCTACCATCGTTCATGAGAGGGCAGGAAAAGTTCTTGGTTCCTCTTGGTGCATTTGTGAGTATCGCACTTTACAAGGTTGTTCTTACTTTCTACGTGTGGGTTTTTCCATCCAAAAAATAAGGGCATCCCTACTGCTCTCAGTGCGAAGTGGAGTCAAGCTCTTGGCGCTGAACTGAGTGAGCCTCAAGACGGACTCCTACACCTTGTCTGCACATCCTAACATGCAACAGCTTCAGAGCAAGACCAGGTTTTGAAACTGTAATATTCACTGTCATCAAATAGAGCAAACAATGGGAACACTAAGCAATTAGTCTGGGAAACCAGCACAGGCTCATACAAACCAGTTGGGAACTCCAAATAATACATACCACAGCATTTTATTTTTTTTTCCCCCAACAGTGATGAAATCCTAGCACAGTTTAAGAAATAAAGCACCATGAACATGTGGGACACTGTACTTCCACTGACCTTCTCCGTGTGGCAAATGGAATTGCTTCTTGAAAGAGAAAGGAAGTCTGAAAGCTCCACAGCCACGATTGTCACAGCTGACTACTGGCAAGATGCTCACAAAATGTCTTTAAGTGGTAGGCTTCAGCACAGCACAAGAGCCAGGAGTCCAGTTTTGCCCAGTAATCCATGAGGTGCGTCATTTCATGTCTCAAGCCTGTAAATGGGTAGATCACTAACTGGCAGGCACTGATTAGTTAAATGATATTCTCACTGAAGTTTCTGCAAGGTATTAGTGATGCAACAAGTCTGCAAAAAATATCCTAGGGCAGATTCTTCATTCCAGTGAAAGATGCACAACGGTGGTTTCACCCACAAATAAAACACTATGGTTGTAATCCTACAGGTCACAAGGAGAAGGAAAGTAATTTTGTTTTTGTTTTTTAAGCACAGTATCTGGCAGCAAACATAGCATCAGAACTTGAATGTGACTTTATATTTATATAGATACATGTATTTTACATATCGTTGATCAACAGAGAAGTATGTTCCAAGAAACAATTTGTTCCAGGTCTGGTTTAAAATGACGGCTTGTCATTTCTGGAGGCCTCCCTCCCAACACACACGCTCAGTTTCCACAATCTGTACATCAAGCAATGCTGCAGATCTTTATTTCGACGGGCGAGGAGACGAAGTAAAAAAAGTGCAGTTCTTCAATTAAAGTGCATGGATGAGGTAAACTAATTTCAAGAGTTTTGAGTTTATTCAGTGCTGGCTCAGACGGGAACCATCCTGCCGTGCATCTGTTGCATTTGGGTGCGCATTGCTTGAACGCTGCTCAAGATCTTGTTCTGGTGTGCGATGGCAGTGATCCCAATCCTTGCCAGGTCACTGTGGAAAGCAAGAGAAGAAGCAGAGGGCTGAGAACTGTGGCTCAGATGCTGGCGTAGAGAGAAATATTGAGTCAACTGCAAACAACAGAGCAAAAATAAGGCAGATGTACAGAAATGTTTAATTAAATAAGTGAAGGCATTGTGGAGGCATTTTGAAGTTATCCTCCATCCAAATGAAAGGCATTCCATTCCTTTAATGAGTGTAATGATATGCAGCACAAAGCAAAAGAGGCCGATTAAATCCAGATTTACCAGTTTTTTTGTTATATCGCTGAGTACTTACTCCTGGTTCATATGCACCACAGCCTCTAGGGTGGTATAGCCAGCAGCTGTGAAGTTATCCTTGTATCGCTCCATTTTAATGGCTTGGAGCCAGTCACTAACAGAAACAACCGCCGAGAACTCAGGGGAGCTAGGATCCAGCAGGGCTGTGCTAGGTCTGGATGCCAAACAGTGAAAGGAGAGAGAAACGGTGTCAGTTGGATCATGAATCGCAAACCCAAGTTTGGTCTCTGCAACAATTATCCTCAACGATTAGGGAAAGCAGGAGCAAGATGCTGCACCCAGTGAAACTGGTGGCTCTGCACAGCAACGTAGATCAATGCAAGAAACTTAACAAAATGCAAAGTAATAAGCCAGTTTTTGCTAAGAATGAATCTGACCTTAGGTTCCTATTTTTGCTTTCAGATCTCATTTGAACCACAATGCTGCTTACAATTTCCACCTCAGATGCAACCAAGTTCATAGAAGATGCTTTTACTTCAAAAAACAAAGAAGATGGTAATGCTGGAAGACATTCAGCCTACTGGGTCTGTATCTCACAGGCAGCAATGCAAGACCTTGCCAATCCTGCATGTGTCAGACCTCAGCTCAGCAACTATAGAAACACTACTGAAGTATGCGCAAAGGAACTGGGAGCTCACAACCGGCCAGACTGGTTTGGAGGGCAAAACTCAGGGCAGGTTCAGATAAATCCTGTTTCTAGCCAGGTTTGCAGGCAAGCTCAGCGCATTCAATCAAATTCAGGACAGCAGGGAGTTAATCCCCTCTTTAATCAATCCACTCCTGACCAGTGTGTGTGCCAGGAGTGGTGGGAATCATGCAAGCTTTGATCTTTGTTTGCACTGTGGAATGTGCTTCTCATTTTGCCTTGCACAGATTTGTGAATAATTATTTTTACAAAATTTGGTTCTCATTAATATCTCATTTATTATTTCATGCATACTGTAAATCACAGGTTCATTAAAGCATTATAAATTACTACTATCTATCTAACCAAGACAATTATCATTTAGCAATTTATTTGAAAATGCACATCTTCAAAGATTAGGTGTGCAACACTATAGTTATGTCTTGCCTAAGGCACCGAGTACATGCTGGTAATACTTGGTACAGCTCTTTTACTGTACTATCTAACACAAGACCAATGATGGCAACCTAATTATATACAATTATGCTTCACATATAAAGACGTATACTGATAATTTTATATGCATATCTGAAATTCATATTTCAAAGAGAAGAAAAATAAAGATCTATAAATAGCCATGAACATGAAATGACCTTGAATAGGCTATTAACTTACATACACACACAAAATGACCTTGAATAGGCTATTAACTTTTGTGAAATCTATGTATTTTCAAAGAGCACCTGTAAACTGGAAAGAAAGCAAAATGGAGGACTTCATACTGTGATTCTCAACTCAAATTATCGCAGCAGATCGCATTGTGATTCTCACCATGTAAATTACTTATGCCTCAAAGGTGGATGCATTTTTGTGCATCCACACAAAAAGCAAGGCTACCAATGCAATTAGGGCAACCTGGAAGATATGTGGTGATAGTGGCCTCACAGGGTTGATAAACCCTCTTCTCTTAATGTACGTTGTAAGAGAGAGTCACAAAGGGACATAGAAATTTAAAAACAAAAATAGCTTTTTCCAGGATGTTGTTCTGTTGGAGGCTGAATCAGAACCTGCTACTCCTTCACTAATTCAAGAAACTTAATTTTGTACTGCCCAATGGACATTTCTATATGTTCCCTTCTACTGAAAAATATCTTCCCATTATCTTCCTCTTGTTTCTTTTCTTTTAAACTTTTTTCCATATTTGCTTTAAGTAAATTTACCTGACAAGGGAAAGACATTTGGGAAAAATAGAACAAACCTGGTATAAATTAGTAAAGCTCCTACTACTTCAGCAGTGTTTCACCAGCTTCAACAAACTGCTGATCTGTCCCATCAAAGATATTTTGATTTAACCTACAACCCTGGAAGTTTCCTTCCTACTGCACTTCTTTTGCACATACCAGGTATATCATGCTTAGCAAACAAAACAAAACACAAATGTAATGCAGGATCGGTGGAGACATGAAACTGGCTTTCCACAAAATTAAATTCAAATTCACATAAAAATTAATCCACACCTTCCCAATGCCCGCAAGGCGTTGGCTGTAATGCCGTAATGCTCATTTGCAAATCCTACACAAATCTAGGGTTTATAAAACTTGATGATGTACTTTTCCTCCAGAAAACCACATCACTCCTTTAACTACACTGCACTAAGGCTACCCATTCAAGCCCTTTCACTAGGGGGGAGAGGGAAAAGATGCAGCAAACTTTGGACTCAAACAGAGCTTGCCTGCATTAGAACTTTTTCAGGACATGCTTAAGACTGTGCCATAAACCTGGCAACAGCTCTGCCCATTCAACATGTCTTCTCACAGAGCTAGGAGAGTTTGGGGTGCCCAGTGG